ACAAAGTTTGAAATGGAAATGAGATACTTATTTTAACAGAGAATAAGTAATTATTGGAGCTGATTATGATGGGAAGAAGGGAAAATCTCCACTGTTTGACCTCCTTAATCAAAGTCGGATATTCTTCTAAAAAAGAGTTGTGATAGATCATTAAGCAGCAATCTGAATGAGATTATAAAATCATGTGGAATGTTCATGTTTCTCCACACTCCAAGCCTTTGAATCTGTTCATTCTTTCGCTGGATCTACCATTCAAAGCACTAATACATTACAGCATCCAAGCTTATTGAAGAAGCGAACCCTTACAAGTGTTAGCTTGAAACAAAATTTGTTATATAGTACCAGTGCCAATCAGATGACTTTTAACTAGACTTCTACAGACAGGTGTGTGTTTTTCATTTAAGAAATAATTCAGAAATCAGCAGGATGTAGCCAAGCTGCAGCACAGAAAAGGATAAATGCTTCCAGCGTAACATTATCCCCTCCATTCTTCTGTCAGTCTTTTCCCATTCTGGATTTTCTCACTGTCAAAAGACCAGATGCTTCATTGCAGCATCTCAGGGAAAAGTGGCCTAAGAATCTGTTTTCTGGACAGACAAAGAGGGAAGTCCCTCTTCAAGCAAAGAAAGCTTTAGAGGGATTTTTCTAAAGCATCCTTAAAAGTTGAGGTAAAACTGCTGTTGATATTCAAAGAATTCCTTTCCCTTTCTCTTCCTGTTCAGATACATTTACCCAAAATATGATCTTCAGGGAAATTTAATCAATCTTAACCTCGTAGGATCGTACAGGGGTTTACAGCCCAGGCACTCCAGGACCTGAGGCAATGTAAACTTCCTTGATCTATCCTGCTTTCTTCTGAGACTCTCTCCCTTCCCTAGGTTGTTTTTTGTTGGGTTTTTGGGTTGGTTTTTTTCCATTAAAAGTATTAAATTTGTGAGAAGATGGCAGGAAAAGTTTGGAAGTGGAAGGATCTAGCCTGAGTACTCTTACCACACTTCAGACCCAGTTTTCCATTCTGTGGCTGGACCAGCTGCTGGACACAGTGATTTCATGGATCACTACTGACCTCTGTTAAGCACAGGTCTAAGAAGACCAAATCGATACCATGGGAAACTTAAATTTTCCAAAAAGTGGACCAGTTGCAGTTCAGAGTGAAACCCCAGTGTTTCTTCCCTAGAGGAGGATAGAAGCTTGGTCTTCTGGCTGACATTGCCCAGCCACCAGCACTGGAGACTCCAGAAGCTGTGAGTTACTGGCAGGTAGAGTCCATACAGGATGCTGCTGGCAGGCAAACCGAGCAGGCTTGTGAGCAGTTTGCTGAAGGGAAAGAAATACGACACTAAAACCTTCCTCAGGATGTTGCAAATGACACAGATCAGCAATTTTGGTAGCAGGTGTGTTTTTCTCAGCATTTTCCCCACCACTTCTCCTTACAAGTTCAATATTTCCTGCTGTATTTCTTGGTTCCCAGAGACTCATTGCTGCCTGTCAGGCAGAGGGATGTTTCAAGCTATATCCTGCCCTGCTGCAGGAAAAATCCTCATGCTGGTTTTGGCTAACTTAAATTTCCTTTGAGAAGTGTATTCCTAGGTGTTCAGTTTAGTAACTACACAATTTTCTGGATGATCTTATGTTTTACAAATAGCAAAAATTATCTTTTAACAGAGAATGAATAAGGAGAAAGCTACTCTTGACTGCCTGAGAATTGCAGCCTTTAGCTAACAGTTAAAATTTAGAGATGCTGCTTTGAAGGAACGACTTGGAACAGGGCCTATCTTCCCTCTGCAAAGCGAAGACCCATTGCAGCGTAGGAGCAACACTCAATAAATGTGCTAATTAATCAACTTTTCTTAGAAAGATATCAGAGAGAATAGTTCCCAGACAATTCAGCTGGACAAATGTCTCTGAGTCACAAGAATCAGATGTGATTGAATGGATTAAAGGAGCAAAAGGGCACAGGCACACATGGTTCTTGCAGATTTACCCTTCCTGTTTCAAAACGCTGCCCTAAAGTACCCCTCTGGGTCAGATTTGTTTGATGGGGACAGATTTAGGGTAGCACTTTCCCACAGCACATCCCCATTTCACTCCAAAGTAGCTCCAGTTCTGAGCAGCAATAAAAAGTAGATTACATTTATTAAATCCCTTGATCCCACCTTTAAGGACTGCCAGTAACAGCATTTTCATAAAAGGAAATATCTCTCTCAGGCTCCAAATCTTTCCATTTCTGCTGGAATTTAAAGTGGGGAATAATTTCTTCAGAAAAGATTTCTACCAATGCCTGGCATCCATGTTAGGCATGGTTAGAGTTTAATAAAACATTGAACACACCATGCTGTATTTAAAATTCTTCAAAGGCTAGATACTAGATGAATATCATGTGAGTGAGATTTCAGCTTTGTGGAACAGTTTGGGTTGGAAGGGAACTTGAAGAACAACTCATTCCACAGACACCTTCCACTAAACCAACTTGCTCAGGGCCTAACTACCAACCTGGCCTAATTACAAACTGTTCACTGCCATTGCTCCACCAACTCTGAGCTTCCAAATCCCTTTGTGTTTGGTTGTTTTAGTCTAAATCCCTTTGTTTTAGCTGGATTCCCATCCATTTAGATGTATTCCTATGATGTTGGAGCAGATAAAGTTCCTCTTGGAAGCAGGAGGCGTCGGGAGGTCAGACACAGCTCAAACGCTGCACATTGAATCCAAGCCCCCTTGGCCATTTGTTTATACCCTTGAAAGATCTCCAGAACCTGGAGATGACTAATGAGATGATCCTCTGTAGAGGCCAAGATCAGAGGTCCTGGTGTCCTACTCCAGGGTTTGGCAAGCACAGAGGAGACATAGAGGGGTATAAGGACAGATTATTAGAGAAAATACTTCTTCTCTGATACACCCTACCATCATCTTGTTTGGTGATTTCATTGACTTTAGGAACTTTCCTACTTGAGGATAGGACCCAAATAATTTAATCCTACACATTTAACAACAGAAAATCCAAGAGATCCATGGGCTTGCTGGATGAGTGCTGCTAACAAAACAATCCTATGGGAAGCAGTGGATAAAAGTGGAAGTGTGGGACACAGGAAAGCTGTTTTATTCCTCTCTGTTCCCTGCTCTGGGCAAAGGCATTATCATTTCATCATTTCATCAGTTATCATTTCAGAGCAACCAGATTTACTTTATGAGTAGTCAGAAAATAAGCCTGAGTCAGATCATTGGTTTGTTTCCTGAGCAGATGAAATCAAGTGGATCCTCATTTCTTGCAAATGGGAAGGGCACTCTCAGTGACCATCCCATTGCAGCTCCTCTTCTCCTCCAGGCAGAGGGAGGACTTTGTGATTGCATTATCACAGTGACACCTCCACCTCCCCATGAAGCAGCTTCCAGGAGTTGTGCTCAATCTCCAGCCCATTTGGGTTGAAAATATCCCACCTTCCTGCTGAAAAAAAAAAAATACATCTGTTGAGACCAACTCCTACCGGTGTTTTCTGTTCATTCCTGGTATCACAAATGCTCATTCTGGTTTTAGACTCCCACCATCATCTTTAAAGGCCTTAGAAAAATGAAATGAGCCTCCTCAGTGAGCTCATTTCTCTTATGCAGGGCTGCAACACCTGTAGTTAACAAAAATGTGAGAGGGCTGAGATTTTGCCAGAGTGATGGATGGTTATTGGACTCAATAATTCCCTGGAAGTAGTTGTGTGATGCAATTCAAGCCTAGCAAGGGCAATACATTTACCAACAGGGATGGCAGGACACTTAGGCTCCAAATTGATCTGGGAAAAATTCTGTTGTCATAGATAAATAAATTCAGGTTATCAAAAAAAAAAGGAGGAGGAAGAACAACAGTCCTTTGTCCTCCATATGTTGCCACAACACTGTAATTCTGTTATTATCAAGGAAGCTATTATTAAAAACACATGCAAAAGCCGAAAACCTGCATCCAGTTCTTAAATCTTACCTATTTCTAAATAAAATCACTTACTAGAATATGATTCTCCAAACAAAGAGAAGTGTTACCTTTTCAGACACTTAGACAGATTTAAATAAGAATGTGCATATAAAGCCTTGCAGAGAAGGAAGGACACAATCTAGCTGTGTGGATTTTTGTTTGTTTACTGGTGAAAAGATTTCAAAATCTTTTTCAGGTCTGTTCCAAAATAGTCTGGGTAGTAAGGCAGAGTCCATGTTTACACAGATTTAGCTGTGACTACAGAAGAAGAGTCCTGCAGGGGCTGAAGGGTTGTAGCTGCCTCAGCTTTACAGAAGGAAAAGCCTTTGGATCATTTATCTCTGAGGATGAAGTGCTTTCTATTCACTGTACACAGGGGAATACCAAGAGTATCATTATATAACTATGGTCCTGACCTAATTAATATTTGACTAAGAAAGAAAAAGAGAAAGAATAAAGCTTTTAGAAGTTCAAGAGTATTAGATAAAACTTTAGACTTAACAGTCTTCCTCTTTTCATTTCCCTGCTTTAATCTTCAGGTATAAAGAGACTAGTTTGAAATAATTTAGGATGTTTTCATGAGAAGATCACAGAATTGTTGAGTTTAGAACAGAAAACACCTACTCCAACCCTCTTATCAAAACAGGGTCAGCCAGAGTAGTTTGCTTGGCTGAGTTTTGAACATCTTCAAGGAAGGAGACACAACATCTTTGGGCAAACTGCTTTGTTTGTCCACCTGGAAAACAAAATAAAAAAGGAAAATAAAATTTAAAAAATTAATTCTCATGTTTAAATGAAATCACAGAATCATAGAATGGGTTGGGTTGGAAGGGACCTTTAAGATCATCCAGTCCAACCCCGCTGCCATGGGCAGGGACACCTTCCACTATCCCAGGTTGCTCAGAGCCCCATCCAGCCTGGCCTTGGACACTTCTAGAGATGAGGCAGCCACAGCTTCTCTGGGCAACCTGAGCCAGGGTCTCACCATCCTCACAGTAAAGAGTTTCTTTCTAATATTTAATATAAACATTCCTTCCATCTTAAGGTCCTTCCTCCTTGTCCTATCACTGGATACCCTCGTGAACATCTCAGCTGGGAAGAGACCTACCAGGATCATCAGCTCCAATGTCTAACCCAACCTTGCAGTGGTCAGCATGGAAAAGGTGGAAAAGAAGAGACTGAAGAAGAAATAGGGCAGGGACCCTGCAGAGTATCTCCAGGAAAAGTGAAATAGCTGACAGGATTCAGGTAAGGACCAGGCATTGAAAGTGCTGGTGAAGCAGTGCTGGTGCTCAGTATGACAGAAAGATAATTTTTTTTTTTAATTGTGTAAAGAAATAGGGCTTACACATTGAGGAATTCCTCCAGAAGGAATGGCAGCAGACATCAGCTCAATAATGCCTAACAGCTTCACAGCACAAAAACCTCTTTCCCCTGGATATCTACTTTTCTCACAGAGACAGATGTGTTTTCATCTCTTGACCTGCCTGTCCTACCTTCAGCCCTGAGAGAAAACAGCCCACACTCAATAAAGGTCTGGCATCCCCTCTGGAAAACACAGAGGTAAATTCTCAAAATATTGTGGTGGTAAAACCTTAAACTATCTAAATATAAATACCATTTCCAGGACTCTCAGATTAAATTATTTCATAGTATTCAGGTGGATGAATGCTTCACTTCCACCCTTTTTTCATTTCTGGTTTGTTTTGGTCTTTTTAAAATAAATATCCATTTTTGTATAAATATACAATATTCTTTTAGATTGCCAGATTATTTCCAGGCAGTTCACATCATCATTCCACATTTATTTTCTCACTAGTAACTCAACACTCAAACTGATGTTTGGGGTTCCTGCTAAACTTCCCTCTCTTGCAATGGAGAAAAAAAAAAGTCTCTGCCATTTAGATATGGAGGATTCCTTTTCCTTTTAGACATCTCTATGACTTTTCTTTTCCCACTATACATTCAATGCTTCCAAATTAGTTTTAAATAATTTGAAGTATAATAAATGAAACAAGACAGGTGAGGCACAAGTTCTGTTGGTGAGAATCTAAGTTGAAGTCCTTGTGCCAGAGGGCTTTTTCACAGACTCTGTCACTGATGAAGATTCCTGGCTCTGGTAACTGCAGATGCCATGGATTTGGGAAAATCTGTTTTCAAGAGTTTTCAAGAAAACAGATTCTTCAAAGAAAATAGGGTATTTCATGCATTGCTACCTGAGTTTTAACATCAAAATGCATTTTGTAATATTCCTCTGTGCAATAACTTTGGAGTTATTTCTTCTGAGAAATAATGAGAGAAAGTCCTGAGTTTGTGTCCATTTTCTGGAAGACAAATTAAGGGGAAAATGGAGCAAGTTTCTGATCACCTTTTTTCTGACCACCTTCCTAATTTTAGTGCCAACATCTGGTCTTTAATAACTACAAACACTTTTGCAGCAGTGACCTGGTAGAAAAGCATCCAGCCTCATTCCTATGGCTTTAATTAACAGATAGAGCTAAGAGACCCTGAGATTGTTTATTTCTTTTCCTTAGATGAGCGAAAACATTGACTGGCACAACGATATTTGTCTTCTTTTGGATCCCTGGTTCAAAATGATAGCAAAATACATCAAAACACAATGTGAGGGTACGAGATATCCATTACTGCAATTACACATGGCAGCCACATTAATTAGTCATCCCAGCATAGATGGTGGAGAGGTGAGATTATAAATTTATACAGCTTGGGCCACAACAGTAACAAAGTCAAAATATAAACCAAAAGGACTTGTGGGAAAGAGATAATATTTTAACTATCTCTATTTTGGAAACGTTCATCAATTGTGAAATGCCATAGGAGTTAAGAAAACATTTTATCTACTAAAACTGATTGAGTGTTGTTTCTCTGTAGAGAGGAAATTCTTGCCTGTTTCTATTTTTTGTTTCTTCTGAAAAATTTTGTCTCCAGAGACTATACCAGGACTCAAGCCCTCTTGAACCATTGCTACTAGCCATAAGCTTGAATATTTTGTTTTGTTTGTTGAGGAATAAACTTGTAATTTTGTCCCAGAAGTTAAATTAACTTTGAACAGTTCCCGAAGCCCAGAAGAAAACAAAATATCTGCTCTCATTTATTAGAGAGAAAAATATCAGAACTGGAAGCCAGATTTTTCTGGGTTTCTAGCAAGATAATTTCTTGCTTCTGTAAAAATAAGACAACTAATTTACCTACACCCTGCATTTTGAATTCCAAAAAACCTCAGTTATGAACAGTTCAAGAACAAGTTTGCCTTCATCATGGATCAAGGATAAACAACCTAATGTGACACAATTTGATTCTTTTCTCCTGTAAGAATCCATCATGCCTTCACAGCTCAAAAGTTTTGAGTTTTTTAAACTGTGGTTTTGGAAGATGCAAGTGATTTGATTTAATTTTCTAGGTACATATCAAGAACATGGCTTTTGAGAACTTATCAGAAATTGGATTTGTGGAAATTTTATCCTGCTTTACCTTCCAAGCTGCTGCTTTTCATATAGAATAAAATCATTATGGTTCAAAAAGCCCTCAGAGATCACTGAGTTCAACTGTTAACCCAGCACTGTCAGGTCCACCATTAACCCTGTCCCCAGGGACACAGCCTTTGGTGATTCCACCACCTCCCTTGGCAGTCTGCTCAACTGACTGACCACCCTTTCAGTGAAAAAATGTTTTCCTAATATCCAATCTAAACCTCCTCTGGTACAACTCGAGGCCATTTCATCTCCTCCTGTCACCTGGGAGAAAAATCTTCCCCTCACCTGGCTATACCCTCCTGTCAGGGAGTTGTAGAGAGCAGCAGGATCCCACCTGAGCCTCCTTTTCTCCAGGCTGAGCCCCTGCAGCTCCCTCAGCCACTCCCCATCAGATGTGGTCCAGACCCTTCCCCAGCTCCCTTGCCCTTTTCTGGACACACAAAGGTGTCCCCTTCTCCTTCAGCACAAGGGTGCTTGTCCCCACACAACCTGTGACATCCCCACAGCTCTGCTGCCTCTTTTGCTGTGGAAAAAAGGATACCTCTTACAACTGAGAGAAGGCTCAGATCTCTGGCAGTTTCTCAGGATAAATCCAAATCCTTCGCTGCTGTGGTGATGTAGCAAGTCCATTTTTCACAGCTTTACATCCCAAATCTCCATCCTGCTGCCCAATGCAAGATCTTCTTGCTCCTCCTCTCCCATAGTAGGAGCAGCTCAGCTCCTGACCCTGATCAGTTCTACCCCTTGCTAAGAAGCCTTGAGCCATTTTTAATGCCAAAATGTCATAGAAAGGACTTTGAGACTATCAAAACTAGTAAACCACTGCCCCAAGTCATGAAGGATTCCAGAGGAAATGTGATTGTGAATCCTGCCATGTTTTCCAACACTGATAAGGAAGGGGTTTGGTGGGAAAGGCACCTGGGAGGCCTCAGTAATCCCATAAATGCAGCTGGAGTGAATTCCTTAAGCTGGAGGCAGGTCTGCAGCCTTCAGCAGCAGAATGGGATTTGCCAAAGGGAGGATGCATCTGTGCAGCCTCAGCACATGCAGACCCCATTTCCAACAGCCACTCACCTCCATTTGTCTCCTGCATCTCTGAGGCTTTGCTAGCTTCAAGCTTTAAACCTGAGATTTATGTAATGTAAAAAGGGCAGAAAAGTAGTCAAGAATCATCCATTTCAATTTGCGCTTTTTTTTTTGCTGTTGGGGAGCAGGGTGGGTACAGGGGAATTGGCTGGTGGTGATGTTGTTATTTTGGTCAAGTTAAAAAAACATTCCAAATATGAATGGAGAAAATAATTAACTATGAAGTAACCACTCCTACTTCTTCCTTCTTGCAGATGCTTGAAGACTATTTCTCTCTTAATGGAAGAACAGCTGCAGAGAGATAAATTTTTGCAGTAAATGAAGCTCTGATGAGTATCAGTTGCTGAATTTCCCCTTTGTCCACCCTGAAACATTTCACCTGTTCATCTAAGGGCTTTTTGGAGCAGCAGTGCTGGTTTGTCCTTTCCACAGAGTGAACTGGCTTTTAACATGGATTTGTCCTAACTTAATTTTACAGGAGGCTCAGTTCTCTTTTCCAGATCAAGTCCCTGTGTCACATAAAACCCAGACATTCTGGGACATGGAGAACAGAAGACCATCTGGGAAAACTATCAGTGACCTCTGAGACCACAGCAGTTTTGATTTAGCTGGCTTTCCTAGGAAAAATAATTCACATTTCCTAGAGCAAAAAAAAAACCGTAATAGTACAACAACCAAGAAGTTGCAAAGTAAGGAGACACTCTGATGTGTGAAATTCCCCTACCTCCAAAGGATTTTATTTTAGGTAGCCTCAATACCATGTGGGAATCCAGAAAGGGTTAAGAGACAGGAATGTAATAAAGGATTTGATATGGAAGCTCCCGAGACAAAAATCTTGCCTCAGAATTCATTGTGTAAATTGAACTTCTCAATGTGTGCAGGGTCACCACATGAGCTGAACAAGTAGGGATGTAAGGGTGGGTTTGATTTTGTTTTCTGGATTTTAATTTTTTGTAAGTATTTTGTGCTGCACACAGAAAACATGCAGAGACTCTGACTGTGCCGCAGGCTGGATTTACAAGCATTTAACTGAGGGGACAGAAATTTCAAACAGTTCAGAATGCTTTGGGATCATTTGGCTACAGCTGGAGGAGAATGTACACAAGTAGTTCTCAATACTTTTGTGTTAGGTTTTAAAAAAGGCCCCATTGAACACTTTGTTGTATTAACAGTTTTTCTATTTTTATTCCATAAAAGCAAGCAGACTTCTGCTATTTCACCTTAGAGATTTCCACAAGGGTGATGGCCCAGAGACTGACTCCTGTGGCAGTATCTAACCATCTCAGTGGGAATTTCATCTGAATAACATGTCCCAGTTATTCAGAAGTCTCAGAAGAGCTTGATTTCAAGTTGCTTTCAGTAGTAAGGCTGAGACAGACAGGCAATCCTAAGGTAATATTATTGAAACCCTTACAAAACATCAAACTCTCATGAGACAGCCCATCACCTTGGCCTCAAAGAGACAATATTTAACTATCTTTTACTGCCAGTTTTATTCACAATCATAGCTAATCATAATTTTTTCCCCTTCTATAAATTCAGAGCCATAAAAAATCCTCTTGGTCTCCCTTATTTCCTCTTGTTGGTGTAGATAAAGACTACTTTACAGAACACTCCGTGCCTGTTTATTTACATGTAGCTTAACATAATGAGCCACTAATCTTATTTGAGGCCTCTGAGCAGTATTGAAATATAGATTGTTACTAATAACCATAGCACTTCCATGTTACTGAGGCTGAGGTGGCAATCCTTCCCTCCCTGCTTGCCCATGGAGAAGAGGAGAATGTTTGCCGAATTTCCAGTGAGCACACCAGGAAAACAGCATCAGCCACAGCAGAAACTCCCCGCTTTACTGAACATGTTCCTCCTTTCAGTGAATTCTTGTGATGGAGTTTCCTAAACTAAAAAAAAAAAAAAACCAACAAAGTTGCCCAACTCTGTTGGCCATAAAAATGTCATTCTTCAGGTGTACCAGCTTTACAATAAGTTGGAAGCATTTGTTACACAATTTTCCACCTGTAAACAACATCACTTGGAAACAGGGACATTGGGTTGAAATATTTTGATTTTGGTGAAATATTTGATGGGAAATTTGGATTGTTTTGACTTCTTCATTTCACTCTGGTGTTGAAGTGTTTTGTTTCAGTAAAGCAGAGAGGGTTTGTTTTGACTTTCTTATTCTGTTTTATTTCACCCTAATTTTATATTACCATCCTTCCAATACTGTGTTTATGTATTTGCCTATTATAGTAACAGTTCCTTTGGCCATCTGAAAATACGCTGAGATGAAAGAAAATGAGTATATTTCATCTTTTCTCTGAGTAGTATTGATTACTTCACAACATAATGTTTGTACAATCGCTGATGTTTTGGATGGTTTTTTCTTTTCTCATTTCACTAAAGTTCCATTTTGCTGCAAAAGCAATTTTCAAAATGGCACCTTTTCCCACAGATGGGGACATTTATTTACCATCAAAACTAATGTGCTAACTAACAGTGTCAAATCACATTCAGCTGCCATGACAATTAATTTCCCACTGCCTGGCCATGGCTGCCCTTTTTCCTCACAATTTACAGGCCCCCATTGTACAACCTTCCCCTTGCATTGGAATAAGTTATTTGGCCTCCTTGCTGGGGAAATAAGGTGCTATTTCAGGTACAATGATCTACTGGGACGTGTCCTTGCCCATGGAAGGGTGTTGGAACTAGGTGGTAATTTAAGTTCCTTCCAACCCAAACCTCTCTATGATTCTGAAATCCTCTACAGTGTCCACAAAAAGACACTTTCTGATTCCTGATTCAATGCAGTGAAAAACCATGGCAGTAATCAAGTTAAGTTGAATATTAATCCTTGTGAGACTGTGCAGAAAACCTAGGAGTATCTCCAGAGAGTTGGGAACCTTGGTTCCAAACAGCATCCTTGGCGTGTTAATGGACGATGGCAGAGTGTTCCCACCAGCCTTACCCCCAGGATATCATCTCATGCCAGCCTTTGATCCAAGCAAATCCCAGGAATGACAGCTAGGGAAGATCTGTGCAGTCAGTGAGATGGGAGTAGGATCTTTGCTGAAGATTTGTCTCCACCTGGAAGTCTAATAACTAAATTACTAAGCTCAAAGCCAGGTCTGTGTATAACACTGTGTCCCATTCTATATCCCCACACAACCCTGGGAACCCCTTAATTCCTAACACTGTCCCAATGCAATAAACTCCTTTCCCACTCTTTGTAGCCCAACTGGTGCTTCCTAATGCTCTGGAACGTGACTTCAGGATGTCCTGGTATCCATTTGATCTCTCCTGTGCTTTCAGATTTATAACCATTTTCCCCCACTTACATCTTAATATTCTCCAAACTCACCATGCATGAAAACTCTGATGTTTTATTCAGGGGCAGTTGTCTCTAGCCATACTTCTGCCAAATTAAATACCAGCAGCATAACAATGCTGTTGCACAGCTTCAGCTTTAATTCTCTGACAATATTTTTATTGCTGCAGATTTGACTCACATATTCGTACTTCTCGATGCTTTCCTTGTTCTCACTTCTATTTCCACCTCTGTACTGCTGTTATCTATTATTACCAGGTTGCCACAGTAACTGCATTCCTCAACACTCCTTATTTGTTCCACATCAGTTGTTATATGGACTGTGTTTGTTCCCATCGTTGCCAAGATCTCGATCTTTTTTGTTGTTGTTGTTGAAATTTCATCCTGCTCCGTGGTTTGGAAGCTTTTGGCTGCACAGCATGGGGCAAGAAAGAAGAGAGGTAACTCCTCCTCCAAGGCCCCACATTCACAGTTCTCACAGAAAATATTGCTGTTCTCTGAGGCAGTGGGCTCTTACACATCATTCTCTGCAGGTCACCAAGTTTTCCACCTCTCTGACCATCCAAGGAGCAGGGATTCTCCCTGTTCAGCCTGCTCTGAGTGTGAGCTACAGCAAACTGGCCACCCCAGCAAACTTGTCTGGGCTGCAGAAACATCCCCATGGGAACCACCGAAAACCCCAAATCCCACCCTACACCAGTGCACCCTTCCTGAAACTGATCTGAACTCCTGCACGCTCAGCGAGGGGATTTCCTTCCCTCTCTCTCTCAATCTCTATGTTTTGCTGCCCTCTCCTGCTCAGCCAGGAAACCTCTCAAACCTCCCAAACCGGGGACTGCAGAGCCCAACTGGAAATTTTAGGCTCCCTCGTACCTATGACAAGTCTTGCCAGAGCAGAGCATCCCTGATGGAAGCAAAGTGGCAGAAGCAGCAAGGTGATACAGGGTATCAGCAGAGACCAGAATTAACCCTTCCTGAGTATCTGTTCTGGAAAAAAAAAATAAATAAAAACAAAAACAACAGCTGTGAGGCAATTGCTGTACAAAAGAAGCACTACTCAAATGCTTCTATAGCTTGACCCAAGCACTAAAGGGTGGTATTGCCTTCTTCCTTAACTCTCAGGAGCTCAGGTGGTGGGAGGAGGTCAGAGAAATCATTGCAGCATTGCAGCCACTGCTTTATGGAGCTTCTGAGCTCAATTTGGAGATCCCAAATGGCCCCTCCATGTTCCTCACTCCCGCAGCAGCAGCAAAGGTTGGTGATTGTGACCACCTAAAACAGCAAAGGGCATTGCTGCCAGTCCCTTCACACAAACCCTGTCCCTGGGAAACACCTCACTGCCAATGTTATTGCCTACAAAAATTCTCCATTTCAGGCATCAGTGAAGTAATTTCATGGTGCTTTTACTGATACGTTGATTAATGACCTTGCTGTGCTGCAGAGCAAAAACCTTCTTGGGGCTGAAACAGAAGCCCAGCACTAAGGGCATGAACTGCTACTTTGCCATCCAAGCACCAGAAATGGAGCTGCTTTCTCCCACTAAAAACTATCAGAGGTAAGAGCAGATTTGGGCTGACTTTAGTGGGTTCACTTGCTTTATTCCTGAAGGGAAAGCAAATGGTTTCCTCTAACTCACTCCTTGTGGTGGGGTGCCAGGCCATCCCATGGTAATGCAGCCAGCCAAGCCATAAATCACTGAATCATGGAATATTTTGGGTTAGAAGGGATTTTAAAGGTCACCAAGTCGAACCCTCAAAGATCAGGGATACCTTCAACCATATTAAGTTGCTCAGAGCCCTGTCCAACCTAAACCTGAAAGTTTCCAGGAATGGGGCAGCCACTGCCTCTCTCTTCTCTTCCTTCACTGCTCCCAACTGTGAGAGCTGTACACATCACTGAACCCTTGGATTGCTTTGGACATCACCTTTTCACCATGTGAAAACAGACTGGCAAAAATTTATGCATTGCAACATGTGTTTTATACTCACAACTTCCTTCTATTCTTCATAACTTATTTTCTCTATGAAGCCATGGTAAAAATATTGAGAAAGATAATAGGGACAGCAAAAGATAGAATTTAATTTCAAGAAGAATTTATTTACAAGAAGGCTGGAGAGGGACTTTTTACTACCCCATCCCATAGTAAGAGGACAAGGGGTAGTGGTCTTCAGCTCAAGGAGAGGGGGTTTAGGTTAGATATTAGGAAGAATTCTTCCCTGTGAGTGTGGGGTGGCCCTGGCACAGGTTGCCCAGAGAAGCTGTGACTGCCCCATCCCTGCAAGTGTCCAAGACCAGGCTGGATGGGGCTTGGACCAGCCTGGGATAGTGGAAGGGGTCCCTGCCCATGGAAGGGGGTTGAAATGAGATGATCTTTAAGGTCCTTTACAACCCAAGCCATTCTAAGATTCTCTGGATATAATTCCCAGCTGACTAACACAGCCACCAGCTGATCCTCATTCCACACAAGTCAAGAGGAGAGACTAAGGCCAGGATGGGGCTATAGATGCTGCACAAACATGGACATGGGCATAAATGTGACAATAAAAAAGTTCCAGAGAAGAAAAGCTGAAAGAAGATGACCTTCAAAAGTCAACTAATGCAATATTTATTGGCTTTTGAAAGAAGAGTTTATTGAGCAAGAAAAAATGACATCAGCCAATAGAGGATGAAAACAAGCGCCTGATAAGAGTTGGCTTAAAGCTCTATCCAAGCATAAGTGGAGGAATATAAAGCAGGAAGAGGGATATATCCAAGACAGGGCTGGTGGATATGTTATCCCCACGCTCAGTGCTCAGGGAAGTGCTGCAGGTGAACTGGAGCAGTAAGTATCATGGACAGGACATTGTACAGCCAGCCTGTCACCAAATTACCCCAAATCTTTAACAAAAATGCAGTCCCTTGGGATGATGTCAATATATGGAGTTTCTAATCCTAAGTAACTACCTGAGGGGAAAACAAAAAACAAAAGCAAAAACAAAAAACAATACAAAACCCATAAAACCTGGCATCAGCTAGAAAGTACGTACATGCCTGGGAAAACTGGAAAAAACCCCACCAGTTTTGTTTTAAATTCAGATGCTAACATTTACACTGAAATGTCAAGCCATAAGAGAATGGAAACAACTGAGCCCGTAAAAGCAAAATAGGCCACATTATTAGACAGCACTTTTAAAATTAGTTTTGATGTTCACTTAATTATATCCCCCTGGCTGAGTCATGAAAACAGAACCTTGCCTTATTATTACCATTTCACATCATTACTAAGGTCCTCGATTAGGTTCAGGAGATGATCTCAATGTGATCTGTCAAACAATAGGATAATCTTCATTTCAGTGAAAAAGCTCTCTCTCTCACAAAGACACTTTTTTTTTTTGATAAATGGGTCTTTCATGTAGACACAAGCCTAGCAAGGCATTGAGTCGTGTTCAAAATATAATGGCTTACTTGATTAACAAAAAGTTAGCATGGAAAAGGTATAATGTATTTAAGAAAAATCTCTTTATTCCCAAGAAGGAAAAGAAAGATGGGGTAGAAAAGTGATATTTACTGCCAGCTCCACAGCAAGTACATCCACACACATTATATAATTATTC